TTACTTGACACCACTGCAAAATTTCCTACAGGACATAAAAAAATTTCCTGTGAAGATATTTTCTATGTTGAGTCATAAGCAATACTAAATTAGCCTGGGCTTTCCACTGGAGCAAAAGTTACCAAAGACTAAGACATAGACCCAACTCAAACTAACTAACTTACTTTTTACAGGCCCTAGGAATCTTAAATTCTGAGGTGGAGAAAATGGACACCATAGACACAGGTTTCGTTTCTCATATGTTCCCAAGATTCTCTCCAAGTGGTGACAAGATCTACTGTATTGCTGGCAGTACCACCCGACCTTACTGTGTTATTGAAGTGCATGTCGAAAGCAAGCATGTGGTGATTATTAAGGATACAAAGCACGATGAGGTGGACCCAGGGTACATTAGTGAACCTAAAGCTGTCACGTACCCCACCGAGGATAATAAAGTTGCACATGGATATCTGTATTTACCAAAGGTCAGTTAACTGTAGGCTGTTGTGAATTGTTATTTAGATAAGTCGGTTGGTCAGCCTGTTCACCAGTCAGGTTGTCAGCCAGTCAGGTTGTTGGTAAGTTGTCGGTTGGTTGGTCATTCACATAGGTTATGCAATCTGTCTTTTCAACAACTTACTACATGTGTGGTCTCGCTGATAAATATCGCATCAGGGCACCCCCTGTATGCGATCCCGCCCACAAACTACTGTGAAAAGGCGTTGGAGAGTCACGGCAGCTCTTGAAATTCTTTGATGTTTGTGGGCGCGGTCGCAATCATACCCTGATGCGTTGTTCACCAGTGAGAGACCGCACATGGGTGGTTTTCGTAGTATCTTACTTCTTCATTTTCACCAAATGGCTACATCAAAAATTTCACCTTGTAGAACAAAGATTACGCTGCACCCCCCGGTTCTCTCCCACCCCTGCTAGTGAAAGTACATGGTGGTCCCACCTCTTCAACCTTACCGAATTTTGATTTGAATAAACAATTCTTCACCAGTCGTGGAGTGGCGATCTTGGATGTAAACTACAGAGGCAGTACTGGATATGGCATGCATTACAGAAAAGAACTGTATGGAAAGTAAGGAGTTTTGAGTTTGGGTTATATGAAATAACATGCATGACTGCCGAAGTCAGGGAGCCATGAAGCAACGCTGTCTCCATATTATAAAGGTCTAACTCCAAATTCAAAACTTCGAAACTTAGGTGAATTATGAATTCAGGAGTTGCAAGCCAACTACGTTGCTACCCACAATCTTCGTTCAAATTTTGCTGTACGGATACTCGATTATTTGTAGCCAATATAGTTGGACAAATTTTGGCATTGATAATTGAAACAATTTTATTCTTAGCATGAGGCTAAACACTAAAATGTATAGTATATAAAACAACATGAGAGCTTGTCAATTATTTAAGACAGCTTTCTTTTTTACGATTTGAGCTGAACTGCTTGAGAACATTTCTCAATTCAGGAGTTGCAAGCCAACTACGTTGCTACCCACAATCTTCGTTCAAATTTTGCTGTACGGATACTCGATTATTTGTAGCCAATATAGTTGGACAAATTTTGGCATTGATAATTGAAACAATTTTATTCTTAGCATGCGGCTAAACACTAAAATGTATAGTATATAAAACAACATGAGAGCTTGTCAATTATTTAAGACAGCTTTCTTTTTTACGATTTGAGCTGAACTGCTTGAGAACATTTCTCAATTTCAATTCACGTGAATAACGCACGACTTTGGAAAAAAAAAACAAATGCAGTGCAAAATTATTTTCATATCTTACAGTTGGGGCAAAGTAGACGTGGAAGATTGCTGTAATGGAGCTCTGTATGTTGCAAATTCCATGAAAGCTGCAGATCGTGAGAAACTTTGTATCGATGGTGGTTCAGCTGGGGGTTATACAACACTAGCATGTCTTACACAACGTAATGAAGTATTTAAAGCCGGTGCCAGCATGTTCGGCGTATCTGATGTCGAGGCTTTGGTGAAAGAGACACATAAATTTGAAAGTCGTTACATTGATTCAATGATTGGGCCATACCCTGAATGTAAAGAATTGTATAAAGAAAGATCACCAGTAAATCACGTGGACAAACTCAACTGTCCTATGATCTTCTTCCAGGGAGACGAGGATAAGGTAACCACGGGCGTTTTATTTATGTTTGTTATCGCCTGTTAAATTAGATTCCTTAGTGGAAATTCGAAGGAAATTTTGATTTTGAATAATTTGAAAAGTCTGCAGACTCTACGGAACTAAGTCTTAAGTTAACGGCCGGTGAATTTTATTTTTTACGGACATGTTAACTGATCAGATAAAATGCGCAGTTTGCAAAAAAGCATGCTAGAAAAAGAATGCAAACATTTTCTTAATTGGCTTCGCTGTGACGGGCATCAAAAGTTTATGGTACGGTACCAGCTTTTTTGTACCAGACATGCAGAAAATTCGAAAACCATAGGAACCAAGAATTACCAAAAGTTAAGTATGACTGGTCATGATTGATCATTCAGGAAGTGATCAGCACGACCAATCATTGTAAATATTGAAAAGCTGCCCGATCATTATTAGCCAATGTCCGAGCAATTGCACACTGGAGCGGACATTTGTCAGACCCAAGCGAAATTGTTAGAATCCATTGTTCTCTCTTTCAGATTGTTTTGCCCAATCAGGCAGAAATGATGTTCAATGCCGTGAAAGAGAAGGGAATACCTTGTTGCTATGTCCTTTATGAAGGTACGGGGAATTAAGGCCATGTTACATGAAGTAACGTTTGCTATAACTTGCAATGCTGGGTAGTTTATTTGATATTTCCTACACTGACTAGGTGAACAACATGGATTTCGAAAAAGTGAAAACATCATTGCGACGTTAGAAGGAGAATTTTGTTTCTTTGCCAAGGTGTTTGGATACGAACCTGCAGACATCGAATGCAAGGTATGGTTGTTTAAATGTGTACTCAGTTTGTAATATGTATAGCTCAGTGAGTCGCACTCAGTTTGTCACGAATGCCACGCTACGATGACGCGCCAGCCTCCTCCACAGGCCCTCATGTTTCATGGGAAGGTCCTAACTTCTAGAGGTCACAACCACTGAACTGCAGAATTTGTGCGTGATCTTCCCATGGTGCAACACGGCCTGCGGAGGAGGCAGTGAAATGAACTGGAACGCTATCTCCAACTGGAAATTTGAAGCCAAACTTGAAGGCCAGTCCCAGTCTTTTCACACATGTGAAGAGCGCTCAGTCAGTCAATCATGATATATACACGCGTGTCTTGGAAAAAGAAAAGGCAGTTTATCTTATGGTATAGCGTTGCAGTTATATTCATTTCAATGGGAGGAGGCAGCCTAAGCCTGGGGCGCGAATGTGATAGCCTGGTGCGAGAATGATGTCATTCTTATAACTGCGAGTTGACCACTAACTAGTAACTACTGTACAGTGCTGTCACTTTTAAGGAATTATCCTTAAAAATAGGAATTTCAAATGTTTTCAATTTTTAGTGCTTAGAAACGTTTCAAGGAATTTTAATTAAGGAAATCTGAGGAATTTTTTCTAAGGAATTCGAAAATTTGATTGTGAGAGCACTGCTACTGTACAACAGTGAACCATCTATTTATGCATGTGTTAAAAATTTTCATTGTTGTTTTTAGTTGAACATAGAAAACCTGGAATCCGTACAGAGATGAAAACAGGTTGAAGGACGGTTGTCTTGGATTTTTGACTGGTATTTTTTATGAAATAGATATAGGTAAGATCCTTATTATGTAGTTAGAGCGGAGAAATTTTACATGAGTGAATTTTAAAATGAATCTTGATTTATAAACCTTTTCATTTTGTACGCCAAACCTCATAACAAATCATAAGCAATATAATAGTTTCAAATACGCAAGACTTTTATTATGAATTTGACATGATATTTTATTTTATTTTACACATAAAATCAAATAAATCTACAACTAACACTGAGATAAAAGGAGCAGCGTGAATTTTGCTACAAAACGTTAAGTTAGTAGAATGTTATCTGACGCAATGTTTACTTGGGGAGTCCTCGTCACGTGACACGGGTGCGAAATAATCTCTGATTGATCTCGTATTCTTTAAAACTGCACCAAACTCCTAGAGCAAGAAATAAAGAACATAATTAGAAAAAAATAATATCGATACCGATATCAGCCTGTCGCCGGTGTTTCAAAATCCAAAGTCAAAAAAACTTGTCGAAAAGTCCAAAAGGGCCTAATGTTTTTTTTAATAAATTTATTCCGGCTTCCATGCATTTGAACCCCAAAAGACTCGATAAAAACCAAACAATGACAAGTTCCTTGCATTACTGTATTTGCACCGATGAAGATTCGGAGTGATTGACAAAAAAACAAACGGTCGTTACCAGTGTAGTTAGCGATGATATCAAACAGCAGCGGGGTATGTACGAGATACAAATGTCTGAAAAATACAAAGGGCTGACCGCTGACGAAGGGTCTTCGCTCGAAACGTCCAAGTTCTGTTTGTATTTTCAAACTTACATCTTCTACCGCTTCTATTTGATGGATAAAAGCCTTCCCAAGTAAAATACACGCAATGTTTTCCACAGAACAATCTAACACTTACTGTATTTGGGGATGAAGGTTCCTGCAGCTGAGGCGAACTCGGTTGACTTGGAAGTTTAATTTTCCTTGACACTTTATTCTTCTTTACTCCCATATCACGTAACCAATTAGATTTCTTGCCATTCTGTTTCGTCATCGCGTTCTTCCATCCTGATTGGTCAGTTTCTTGTTTCGTCATAATATTCTTACAATCTGATTGGCTAGTTTGTATTGAACATGAGCCGTTGTCTTTAAATTCTGTATTAGATTGTTTCTCTGATAGTTCTCTTGATTTCGTATTGACAGACGATTGTTCTGAATTAAGTTGCGAGTTCAAATTAATATCCACATTCTCCTTATCTGAACCTTTGGTGAAATCCAAATCTGTATGGAATTCAGATATCTCCTTTCCAAGTGAAGCCTCGCATTGAGCTGAGGAAGTTTCACCACTGTGTTTATCACTATTTTCCTCCGTACTTTTATCGAGACAAACTCGTTTATTTAATCTGTTTTTTGTATTTTCGGTTTCTCTTTGTCTTTTATTGCAACTTGAGCTCTCAATGTTCGTATTCCTTAGACTTGGCCTTGGGTTGGTTGTAGGGCTGTCCCGACCACTTGGGCTTCTTGTATCACTCAGTTGTAACCAATTCTGTAGAAATTGTTGAGGACTGCTGCATTTGATTGGGTTTGGTGATAGACCAACGGGAGAGCTTGGTGTGGAGTCACTTCGTGATCTGATTGGAGACGTTTGTGGGGTTGTAGTCTTGTACGACAGGTCATCTAAAGCCAAAAGTATTTGTTATTTTTGTGCGTAATAATAGTCATCACAATGAAAGCCTTAGGAGATTGCAGAGTGCTTTAGAATTTGTTCTAATTAGAGCGTGTAGTCAATCAGAACACTTCTAAGTTTGTATCAATCTTTTCATTTGTATGTGGTTGACTTTTTGTCCTACCTTTCGCTTCTGTGGGTAATGGTGGATTAGGTTTCCTTTCACACCATCCGATAAAATCACCATTGTTTTTTTCCGCGTAATTCACCCTCCTATATTGAGGGGTAAAAGAAATGTGAGACAGAGCTAGAATATCTTGGACTTGAGGTCTGCACGACTTACCAAACTTTCAAACTGTTATCATCGGAACACGTGACAACCTGTAAGAATAAACCAAAGTATGCTCAATGGCGATGACATTCAAGGCAATGGTTTTTCGCAACCGTTTCTGGCTAGGTATAAAAAGTGTATATATCGTCACTGGGATGATCATCTACTCCAATGTTCAGCCATATTAGCCATTCCGAAGTTGGTGAGAGGACTGGGAACGAGTGTTAAAAAGTGCCCAAATTAAGAATTGACCCGAATCACTAAAAAGACCATCTCAAAAATAGTAAGTATACAAAGTTTGAAGACGTTTGCATGAATACCCTTCGAATATAAGCTTTCGAAACTCGCGATATTTACTATGAAATCAATCTCGTTCCCCGAGCCTGCGATCCTCGGGAAGGAACGCGAGGCTCTGGGATAATCCGTTGCCGGAAGCCAGGAATTCTGGCTAAGATTGAACTACGCATTCTATTTCAACGGCCAATCAGATTCCTCCCTGAAACGGATTATCCCAGAGCCTCGCGTTCCTTCCCGAGGATCGCAGGCTCGGGGAACGAGATTGCTATGAAATGTACTGTAATTTTTGTTTTGGGGAACGCGCGTCCCAAAAAACAGTCTTTTAATTAATCAGTAATTTCACGATTTTCGAAAGCTATTATTCGAAGGGTATTCATGTAAACGTCTTCAAACTTTGCATACTTACTAATTTTGAGGTGATCTTTTTAGTGATTTGGTTCATTTCTTAATTTGGGCACTTTTTAACACTCGTCCCCAGTCCACTCATCAACTTTGGAATGGCTAATTTACATACCTTGGTTTGGTCCGTAGGACACCACGCTACACTTGTGACCTCATTAGTATGCCCAGTCAGATGAAACGGTGCCGCAGCAGGATCATCAATCCTCCATATATATCCATCACAATCCCCTGAGCCGCTGAACAAATACTGATCATCGGGACTTACACAAGACTTCACATAAAATGTTGCATTACTGTGACCTCGGAATGTTGCAAGAGGATTATTTTGATACGTAACACAGTCGTACATATAGATGACGTCATTTGTACAGTTGGCGAAAAGTTTGGATTTGGTTGAGTCCAGGGTTAAGGATGAATAACCTAGTAAAAGACGATTGCAAATTGAAAAATTTTTATTGTTTCAAAAAGCTTGGGGGGAACATTAATTATTGCAGAAACTGTCAGAAAGATCTGAAAATAATCATGTTTCCAAAATATTTCTTGCGCAGAGAAGCGTTTAAAAAAACGAGGCCAAGATTTTTTTCTGTGTTGGTGTTAAGAACGAGGCCAAGTTTTCAACAACTTCAACGACCTTCAATTTGGCCAAAAAAAAATATGTGGGTTTCTGGTTTCTTCTTATAAAAACTTAGGTAGGGTAGGTCGGTTTTAACTTCTTTTTTTTTAAACTTTTTTTATTTTTCCGAATAAGCGGACGCCATTTTGTTTAGTCAGTGCTTCCACATCCAAAGATAAATTTCCCTAATATTGCCTCAAATTTCAATTTTCCACAAACTTTTTCCTCGAAGTGGAAACACTTACAAGCATGATCCAATAAAAAAGTTTAGGGCCGGGATTTCGACGTCCAAAAGCTAGGTAGGGTCGGGAAACCGGAAACCCACATAGTTTTTTTTTTGGCCTTTTCAATAATTTTCTTTGTATGTTTATGATAATTTCATAATTAGAGGAGATGAAATTCAAAACTTAACACTGATTAAAAGCAATTCGACCTGGCTTAAAATTTCTAAATTTTATATAAGTACTAATTACCTTAACAAAGACATATTAAATCATACAGAAACTAAATGCGCTCTTCTTATTTATTCAGTTCTTTCATTATGATTTTTAAGTACGTTTCAATTAAAAAAATTCGAAAGACGCAAAATTTGGGCAATATTTATATCTGTGGGTCCCCATTTGTTATGAGCAGAACTGATGCGCAGAACGGACTTGACATGGTCTTTAAAAGCTTTTCCGTGCGTCGTAACTAACGCGTTCTCGTTTCTAGTTTTATTGGCGCTGAAATTTTGAGTTTATTCTCACCATGTTTACGAGTGCCAGAGGCGGGGTAAGGAAAGACGTGATACGGTAGAGGTCCTGTTCGGATGGTCGAGTAATTCTTTCTTAAATCCCAAACTTTGATATTTCCATCCACTGCACCTGCTGAGACGATGGTGTTGATGTCCTGAAATATCACTGATGTTACACTCTGTTGCGAGTCCTAAAAAAATTTGAATAGGCGTCTTTCACTATCGTTTCATTCTATTATGTAGTGACAAGTCATAATGTAGCTCAATTTTCATGCTTCTATCTAGTTTACACTATAAAAGTTTCTGTGATCACAGTAGGAATTTTCCATCGGTAAATTCTAGGTTTTGAAGGATTTGTAAGAAATTTTTGAGGGAACTAACTCCGTGCTTAACACTGAATCAGTTTCCTCGAATATTTCTTACAAATCCTTCAAAACTTCCTACTGTGATCACAGTAACTTTGATGTGTAAACCACCGTTAATGTACTGTCAAATTTTCCATTGTTTTTACACATTTTTGAGGAACATTTGAAGGAACCAATCAGGATTCAAGAACATTAAACACTTTTTCCTGAGTAACAGCATTCCCAATTTACACTGTATAATAGACCTTTCCCCTTATGAGTGAAATTTTGATCTAGACAAGCCTGGACAAAAATTTCATCACAGCTTGAAAGGGCATCACAAAATTAGTAATATTCCGAAGTTTCGTTGCGAAATGTTGTAAAATGCGGATAATATAGCCTTGCGAAGTTTTTCGCTTTTCAGTCATTTTGTATTACAAATGGGAAATTGATAATCAGTTTGATCATCTGATTATCAATTTGTAATGCAAAATGACTGAAAAACGGCAAACTTCGCAAGGCTATATTGTCCGCATTTTAAAACATTTCGCAACGAAACTTCGGAATATTACTAATTTTGTGATGCTCTTTCAAGCTGTGCTGAAATTTTTGTCTAGACTTGTCTAGATTTTCAAAATTTCACTCATAAGGGGAAAGGTCTGTTGCTTTCATTCTCCATTTCTGTTACTGAATCTTATTAAAATAATCTAACGAAAATTTTTCGTACTGGCGTGACAACATTTGAAAGTCGTCTTCCACGTCTTCTGCTTCTCTGTGGTGTTCCAGTCGTTGCAAGAGTTGAGTGACAGTTGTGTATGGTGTTGACAGGTTTGTAGTAACCATCACGTTTGTTGCAACGAATGTCCCAAACCATCACATTCCCATCGCGTGCACCCGTTGCAAATACAGCTGTGAGAAAATTGTTAATTATTGTTAACATTAATTTGAATAATTTCTAATTAGAGTATTAATTACTAAATGTGTAGAAAAAAGTCAACAGAACACATTGTATTATGTGATAATTTCTTACATAGATTTTCATCCTGAAAATCAACAGACTTAAGACTACAGCTGTGACCTTTAAATACAGCAAGTCTTGTACTCTGTTGAATGTCCCATAATTGAGCTGTCTGATCTCCTGATGCTGTTACCTAGGTGATAAAAAATTTCACAGTTAACCTATTCTATTATGCGGCATTGCACCCCAATGCAGCCAACTTTATTATTTTACTCTGTCCAATGCCAGACATTTTACTTGTCAAGGGGAGATTCTTGCACATTGGCGAGTTGATAGAACAAATACTGCTATTTATTAATTGCCACTTACAAGTTTTGGCTCATTGCAAACCCATGCAATGTCAAATATTGCATTACTGTGTGCGACCCAACCTAAAACAAAAATATACTCATGGTAACTTGTTATGCTGTAATTGTGTCTTAATGTTGGTTGTTAATGGTTGCTGTTGAAGACTTGAAGATCAACTACCTTTCAGTTTTGCTGAAGGGCCTTGTCTCCTCACATCGTACAGACACACTCCACCTTCCTCGTCCGCAACAGCTAACATGTGACCTTGTAACACTGCTAAAAATAAATACGAGTAACTTAAACATGATCATTGTCTTTTGATTTGAACTCAGGTTGATTTAATTATACTTATAATTATACTTACAGTTGTTGAAACTACAAGCAAATGGTGGAACTTCCGCCTGTAAGAAATATGAAATGTGATAGGCATACAAGAAGGGGGCCTGCAGCCCCCAATTTTTTTGGGGGAGTGGGCAATTTAATGAATGTTAGGCAAGGGGGTTATTTGTTATTTCCTACTAAATTTCGTTTTGCGTTTGGCATAAAAAAATACCTGTGGTTCCGGGTTCCGACTGACCCTATTTTTTTCTGCCGACCCTATTATTTTTTCAACGCGATTGACTGTGCGACCCTATTTTCTCCGGGTGGTTGCGGGCTGCTGCCAAAATGGCGTCTGTTGTCACACTAATTATTGAAAAAAACATGAAAAAAATATTCCAAAAAAATATTATTTCCGACCTACCGACCCTAATTTTTTCGCGATATGAAACCGGAACCACAGGTATTTTTTTACGCCTTTATATGGGAACCGAGCTGGCCCACCTAAGCGAGGTCCCGCCTCGACTGACCCGAGATATCGGATGACCGGGCTGGGAAGTTCCCATACATAAATGCAATGATCCGGGCTGGCTCGCCGAAGCGGGCTGACTGTTATTGATCTGTTCACTTCACATGAATATATTGTTGTGACTTGTGAGTAAGATTTTCTCGACAGATTTTGATCTTAAAAGGTCTCTGTCAGTGAATGATTCTGTGTGTTATAATGGTGAAGTGTGAATTTCAGGTTTGAGAAAAATATATTTTCTTTACGTTATAATATTTATAGGGGTGGAACCAGTGGTTTGTTTTCGCAAGCCAGCAATAAAACTTCATATTTTCCCCTACTTGAAACCAGCCAAAGCCAGCTGGGTCCTGGGCCGGCTCGCCTCCGATATTTATATAAATCAGTGTAAAAATATTTTAACTTAACTTAACTTCTTACAATGCAGGAAAATTCGAAATGCAAATTTATTTGCTTTATACCGTAATGAGGATTTGCCAGAATACAAGCTATTCGATATTAAACTGGAACAAAAGCAAAATCCCACAGGGAATACAAATTGAGAATACAAATTGAGAATTCAAATTGTGTTTGTTTACCTCTGTGTCTAGACCTTTAACGTCGTGTTTGTCGTCCTTATGGCATTTCATTGCTTCTATCATGAAGTCCACATTCACTTCTACCATAAATGAAAGAATAACAGTTCAATTCGCGAGAATTTCGCTTAAATATACGAAATATAAACAAGCCAGAAGGTCGGTCGTATTTTACTACATACGTTTGTTCTTCGCTGAATACGGGCGAACAATTTGCCGTTGGAGTAAACTGTGAAGCAGTTTCATCTCGGGAGGATATAAATTATATCTTTCAAGTCTCCAAATAATGTCAAATACGAGAAATAAAATAAATTTTTACAACAAAGAGTCGAGCAGACGTGATGTGCGGTGCTTGCCAACAAGTTTCCCGCGAATACACAAATTTCCCGCGAACTTGTATTACGCGGGAATTTTTGTTTACTTTCATGTGATTGGTCGGTGTTCGAAAAGCCGTGGCATGAAGCGATGTGTAGTTCAGAGGGCCACAGATCGAGGGTAATAATACTCAACTCTGTACTCAACTCAAATACACTTTATTTTTTGTACAAATATTTTAATGTCCAAATAACATAAATTTACAACCTTTAGCTGAATAATTTTACAACAACATGTACAGCTAAGCTAGTCTATTTACAAGACATTATTTTCATTTTTTTAGACAAATACTATGTATTTCTCAGGGGATGTTTATATGGAAGCCAGGCTGGCCCGCTTAGAGATCTCGTTGAAAGAGGCAAGATTTCGCTTACTGGGACGAAAATTTCTCCATATAAACACTTGCAAATGGGCTAGCCCAGTTGCTGGATAAAAGTTCAAAGATGCCACCACAAGCTATTTTTAACAACAGTCAAAATAATGTCAAAACAACATAATTGTCCCAGCAAATGAGATGAAATTTTCTCATAAACACAAGAGAAATTCATCCTTACCAGGCTGCCTCACTAAGTGGGCCAGCCCGGCTTCCATATAAACAGCCCCTAACTTTTTTCGTTTGGTTTGTGTGCTTGTCAAAAAGTGATGAGAAGGCAAATAACAATAGTGTTCTATCTAATAGTGTCATGATATCATATTCCTAACAAAGGTTTTACTGTAATTAGTTTATCTCTCTTTGAGGGCTATGATGAACAGCTTTTTTACGATTTGTCTTTCTTTGCAATGAGGACCGAAATCATGCTGAAAAAGAAATAGAAACTATATTAAGTACAAGGGAATGGTGGTAATATTCAGTTCAAATATTTTCCAAATGCCCATGGCCTGACAAAATTACTCTTGTGGGGACAATGATAGATAGATAGAAACTTTATTTATACATGCTTGACCCCATCACCCGAAGCTGATTTCCATGGGGGCGTGAGCCGTGTTTATCTAGCGTGAATTTCAGTCGCTATAAACCAGTGCAGAGCTCTGAAATTCCAGCTAAAGTGGATGAACACTTGTATGCCACTTATGTCAATTGTATATTGTGGAATGATTTTGTTTGTAAAAAACTCAATTGTATATACCTGTATAAATAAAGAAAGAATGAGATAAGGTGAAATCCTAGTTTAATCATTGCCTCCTTCAGAAAACCTTTCAGTTCACTCCTATTATGGATTTCTGCTGGATCATAGATTCCAACATTGCCCGAAGGTTTATTCAGGAATCTAGAAAAAATGACATTTCGTACTTTGGTAAGTTAACAAGGGTGGTATTTTGTTTTGTGAAATTTTCTGACTGAACTAACTATTAATTAAGATGAGTTGTAAATCACTTTCACTGAAACAAAATAAGAGGAATGCAAGCCTACAAGAGTGATCACGCTCCTCAAAATTAAAGGTCTGGTAAATTGTAACATATAGGGGTGTAGCCAGCCTCAAAAGAGTGGGGGGTTTAAGTGCTGAATGGTTTAATTGTTGAATACACAGACCAACTCGGGAGCATGGTCACTCAGAAAATGTTTCTATTTTTACGATCTGCAAAGTGCTATCTCGTGCATTTTAGACACATTTTATGATAATCTGAAAGGCACAGATTTAGTATATTTCATGTCGTATACGAAAGCATTACAAGGTTAATACACCCCCAGTTTCTCCTGAAGAAATTTGGAGGGTCTGTCTGGCTACGCCCTTAAATTCACATATATTAAGTTACCTATAAATTAGCCAGATCGACAATGGCAGAGTTATTATGAAGTAGATCCAGTGAAAATGAATGAAAAACATAACAGGAAAGTACAGCTGGGCAATGATTTCAGGAATTACAAACTAAATAAAGAAATGCCATGTTGAAAAAACCACCACAGCATAATAATGTTGAAACAACTACCAAGCCAAAATGTCAATTGAATGTGGACATGTCTCCTTAGCTTCATGTATCTTTATTAATAAGTTAATAAACTGAATTTATTCTTTACAATACTATACTAATGTGCCCCCAAACAATTACTGTTATGGCGCATTTTCTTTGCTAAACTTTACCTTGTTAAGCCTTTCACAACAGACTGTAGCATTGATATAATCGCATTCTAAATCTGAAAGATTGATTATCTGTAGAGACACTGTTAAGGACGCTATGTATAGATGACATGTCAAATATATACACTTTTGATACTACAAAGACACAAATATGCATTGTTTAATACTTAAAGGATACAAAAAATACTGTAAGAAATAACAAACCAGCCGCGTCAACGAGTGAGGATATAAATAAATAAGTATCAGAGAGCAACATCTCTATAATAAATATAAATTTCTAGCTTGTTTACATGAATTCCAATCACATAAATATAAACCAAGCGTAAAGAAATTGTCAAATATTAAAATATTTCTACAAGAAATGAGTCTGCAATATGACATACTTTGACCAGCTGAAAGTGCATTACTTTCTAGGGAGGGGTGTGTGACAAAATTAAAAAATACTAAAAATACAGCTTTTATATATCTTTTTATAAAATATTTTTCTATATACAAACGAATTTGTTATATAAAATGTAATTGTATTTGAATTTTTGAAATAAACTCTTTTGGAAACATTTTTGAAGCTATATAAAAATGCGTTCATGCCCCCTCCCTAACCACAGATAATTCCGTTTTGTTTTTTTGCCAAAATTTGAAATCAACATGGCGACAACTCACGCGTTGACCGTTGTCAAGAACAATTGTTATAAAGCACCACGGCTCTCAAGAACAGACTTACCTGCCAGTACGAAAGAATTTAAACAACAAGACACATTTTCCCAAAGTTCTGAAGCTAACGAAGAGAGTTTGGGTGAATCAAAACGTACAAAAACTCGTACATCAACAGACCGTCGGCATATAAACAAACGACGAAATAAGTTTATACAGAGCTATGAGAAAGAAGATGGCGTTAGCAAAGAACAGTTTTATGAGAATTTAATACAATTACGAGAGGAACATAAAAAGACTCTAAAGTTACTGGAGACAAGATATTATAATGAGTTGAAAAAACAAACTAGTTTTCAATGGGAGGGTTTTGATCAAGGTGTTGGATTACAAGAATATAGCGGTATGAATGGGTCTATGAATGGCATGGAAACACATAATCAGGAGCAGTCGCATGGATGTAAGGGCATCAATCAGACTCGCCCAAAGTCACCTGTGCAAGATGTTGTAAAAGATCTGTCGCATTTAACACATGCTTCGACAGGTATGGAATGAAATTTGGGGACGTTATAATTTACTGTACATGAGTATTGCCATCATGTTTTTGATGGGGTATATTTTCAATGATTGACCAATGACCAGGTACAGTAAATCGTCAGGTCATTCCATATTTAATGTTTCAAGACAACTTCAGCAGTATTGTATGGTGCTTCCCTGCCCTTCCCAAATTGTCCCTTTATTGCAATATTTCTATATAGATTAGCAGAGTATATCACTCCCTGGAATCTTCACAACCTCCCCCCCCCCCTGCCCTGATGTGGGTCAGCCATGTATGGACCAGCACTTTCAAAAATTTCTCAAATTGGTTTGTCTAGCAGGTGTAGTGATGCACATGCCCCTCCCCTGCCCCCAACTCCCTTAAAATATCAAAAAGGTTAATATATAATTGTACATAATCTAAACTTCCAGACACTGTCATCTTGGCTATATAATATACACTCTCTTTTTCACATATGAGCCAAGGTGTATCAATCACAAAAATTGGCTCCAAAGTAGCCAAGGTGGCGTGCTTTCTCCCAGCATGTATTACACTTTATTTTATGAAAGTGTTGACTTTAGAAGGACAAGAAGATGGGTCCAGTGAATGTTCAGATGAAAGTGAAGTTGACACAGATGAAAAAGAAGCTACAAGCACACCAGAAGAGTTTTCTAGTTCATTATTTCCCAAGAGATCAGCAGCCATTGATATGGTTGAACATTTATGGAAAGATTTCTCAGTTCAGGATTACACAACAGTGGACAGTGAGACACTTGAGGCTGAACAAATTTTGCACAAGATGCCAAAAGAAAAGGTACAGCAAAGAGGGAAGGGGAAACAAATGGGAAGATAGGAAGGGATTGAAGGAGAAAGGGAGGGATGGAGAAAGCAAGGGGGGGTGGTGATGGAGGGAGGGGGAGGGGAAGTGAAAGAAAGATGGATGAATTGGTTGATTGAAGAAAGGAAGAAAGAGAAGGAATCAGGAGATAAAGGTGGGAGGAGGGACTGAGGGCAGAACAATGAAATGAATAAATGAGTGAATAAATTGGTGGTTGGTTGAAGAAATGAAGGGAAGAAGGGAAGGGAAGTAGAGGGGGAGGAAGTGATTAGGGGATTAAGGAGGGAGGAGGGGCAGAGAAAGAAAGATGGATGGATTGGTGAATGAGTGAATCGATTGATTGATTTGTTAAAGAATGGAAGGAATGAAGGAAGGGAGGAAAAGAAGGGATTAGGAGACAATGAAAGAATAGATGGTTGGGTTGATTGAGGGATGGAAAGAAGAAAGGAAGGAGGGTGAGAACTCTTTATTTTTTTGGCTGGTGGGTTTATATTTATGATTGAGAAAATAAACTTGTGAAACGTTATAATTTTTAGATTTGTAAAGTATGTAAGGTATTAGCATGCATTAGGACCGCCACAAACACTTCACATGCTCAGTATATTTGTTATTTTTGCTACCCTAGGAATGGACTCCAACAATCACGGTGCCCAAGCCATTCACAATGACCTTGAGAGAAGCGACGAAGGAAAAACGGAAGACGCGATCCATGCAGATGCTTGAAGAAGATCTTGTTGTAAAGAAATCCATGGAGGAAGCCGAATTCAAAAAGAAATTCCGAGCTCAACCCGTTCCCGCTGCCACCTTCCTGCCTCTGTACGATGACATTGTCGACAAGAATAAACGGAGAAGCGAGCACGTACGCGAGATTAACAAAGCCATCTTGAAAGCGACAGAAAAACCATTCAGTTTCGTTAAACGTGAAGAGATGAAGAAACATCAAAAGGATGAGGAAATGAGGAAAATTATGAAACAGAAAGAAAAAGAAGAGACTAACCGTTCCTCGTTTAAAGCGAGACCACCGCCGAGACACAACGACGATCTTAGTCTTGCTGACAGACTGACGGAACAAGATGAATATCGTAAGATACGCAAGAAACTTCGTGCTGCCGAGCTCCTGGCGAAGTCGCGGCTGCCTCCGAGAATGGAAGCACGCTCGAACGTCACACCTGCGGCAAAATCGCGGCAAAAGTGTCGCAAATCTCGCGCACGCAAACCGCAGTTTCGACCCAATATTAACACTGAAGTGCCCGACTTTGATGCGTTGCATTGGGAATTTGAGAAAGAGCTGAGGAAAAGGAAGAAAGAGCGACAACCGACTGTAGTCGAACCGTTTAATTTGAAGACTGCGCATATCCCGCGTGCCAAGAGCAGTCTGACACGTGCGCGGTCGATGGAAAACATAAGTCGTAGTGTGGGGGAGTCACCGAGTGTCCCGCGTACTAGGAAGAACAGACCTTACAGTGCAAGGCTCTCGTCATCGCAAGATACGTTACCTTTTGGGTGAGGAAATATCTTAATGTTCTTAAACTAAACTAAACTAAACTAAACTGAACGTATATGAAAGTCTCTTAGTTGAAGCAAGGAAAGACTTCGATAAATTTGTGCTTTTGGACGACATCAATGTCTATATTTCTCTTTCAACACAGTCTTAATTATACAGGGTGTATAAAAAAAAGGTAATCGAACTTCAGCGCGCTATTGTACGTACATTACTCGGCGTATGAACAACTTTTTTTCATATTCGGAAAGATCAGGCTTTTAGCTATTGAATGACATGTTTTTCATGCCAAGTAGAGAAACAAATAAGCAAGTACGAGTCCGATAAAAATTGTTAGTCAGAATCGCATATTTTCACCTCTGTGCCTTATTAAAGCAGTGTATAACAAAAGAAAAAGCAATTAATCACGAGCTTAGCTATGATTTATTCCTACTTAATGATAATTATGAATATGTGCGTAGTTTATTGAAGTGAAATTCATCAACTTATAATTTTCAATGGTGAAAACTCTCAACGGTGAAAATATGCGATTCTGACTAGCATTTTGTATCGGACTCGTAATTGCTTATTTTTTATCCATTTGGCATGAAGACCATATCATTCAACATGCAGCTAAAAGCCTGATCTTTCCGAAGATGAAAAAATCTCCGTCACACGCAGAGTAATTCAGATACAATAGCGCGCTGAAGTTCGATTACCTTTTTTTATACACCCTGTACATTATGCACAAATACTTCTTTGTTCCATGCCGTACTACTTTTTACACGCCAATTTTTGTTTCTTAACAGGACGACGGAGTCGGTGCGACTACGAGAGCACGCCGTACGGAAGAGTTTAGAAGTACACAAACAGAGAAATGATGAAACGTTACAAGTAAGAAAAGCGAAACAAAAACGCGAGAAACAACTTCGCTCGCAAGTCAGTGTTAAAGCGATGGCAAATGATCACTCGTGGCAACTCAAGAAGAGCAGCCAACAGAAACTAAAAAGTTTCAGGTATAGAATAATTATATAAATACTCAAATAAATAATTATTATAAATCTATGTATTATGATAAATTTTACAGTAATTTAATTAGGAACTGATTATTTTACAAACACACACAAAAACAACGGACAGTTTCCAAACCGGTCGCGGCAAAGTAGCGAACGGATTCGTAAGAACCATGCGAGGCTACCTCCCAAGAACAAGGACTTAGCCAAAATTTTAGGTTTCCTCACCTAAAATGAAAGCAGCATGGAAACAGGTCGGCATGAAACTTTAAAGGTTTTCAACAATATGTGACTGTAGTGAAATTGGAAAGGCAAGATTATTACATCGTCTGCTTTTCGCTTTACCTCTAAGTTCACTGACATATGCAAACTCATAATTTTTTTGCCGTCCTGACAAGACGGCTGGTCGACAATCAAGTCACACCGGACGCGATTCGACAACGCGACGCGATTTTTCCATTTTCACTAACCGATAACTTTGATCCTAGTTTAAATTTTCCAAGTATTTAGAAGCGCTATAACATTTTGAGTTATTTGCTCTACATATCTTTTAAAATTTGCTCTCATTGGGCGGTGTTTTATTAACTTTCAAAAACTAAAAAATCGTGTCACGTTGTCGAATCGCGTCCGGTGTGTCTGGACCTTACCGCGTCCTGAATTGCGAGGTCTGCTGTAGTTGATATTGACTAAAATTAGTTGCCTATAGTATAGACGTGTTTCCAGAAAGTGATGGAAAATTGTTTCCTTGACAAAAATCACACTTTGCAAACAAAACATGTTTCCGAATTCGTCACTCGTCAGGAAACATTCTTTCTTCCTGAGAAGCAAAATTTGTTTCCGAAATAATGACCTTATATGTGTTTCCAAGTGTGAGTAAACGCGAAGAAACGATTTTCAAGTGCATCCCCCAACAATTTTGTTTGTTTGCCCAAGGCATAATTTCTAGCTAATGAAATTTTGATGACATTGTCGTTTCAAATTGAAGTGTTGACGACATGTCCAACTTCTTTACTGCAGGGAAAGTGAGCGGGGCCGGCAGGAAGAGTACGAACGTGAACTGACCGAAATGAAACATCGTGTCGAGCAAAGACCTCTCTTGTTTGAGAGAGAATCTCAGGAGAACGCCAAAAGGAAGGCAGAGAAAAAATACACGCAAATTTTGCGCGAGGCAGGCGTGGACGAGCATCTCGTGAATAGACTGGTGACTAAAGATGGCGAAATTATCGATGCTGACGACAGCGAGGATAGTGCTGGGGATCTCGATGGACACGAGAGAGTAGATGATGATGATGATGATGACTTTGAGTATCCCTTGAGTGATCATGCTGCGCGGTCGGAGTCTGGGTCTCAGCCCAGTGAACAAGGGGAAATATCTGATGAGGACTTTGAGGATGATTAAGCAATTTGAAATATTGTATATACGTGTGTAACTATAGTATTTAAAATAGAAATGTTAGGTAGGCAAGCCAAAATCCACATATGTATATTTACAAGTTTGACCGAATCAAATTAAAATAAAACTTGCGCATGCATTTACGATTTCGAAACCTTTGAAGATCTTTGAACTATTATGCAAAAAATTATCTTGTGTTACCTATAGAAAATGTGTGAACCTTTTAAATGGTCGTTTTCATAAGGACGTTACATCGTCACTTTACATCGTCACGTTACATGAATAAACGTTAGTTTTCTTCTAGAAGCTGAACAGCGTGGAACTACAAGAAGTTCTTAACATAAAGTTTTTAATTAAATTCCCTAAATAAAAAATGTTCTAATCATAGATATCTATGGTTCTAATACGCTTTTCACATGCACCTTAAATTGGTCGCATTAATACACTTCATTGATATTATTTAAAACGTGCAGTAGGACATTCATGGATTTCAATATAATTACGCAATAAACCAAAGCGTGTTGCGATAACGAATGTATGTTGTTCCAAGAATCTGATTACCCTCAAATATACTCTAAAGCCCTGGTCAGAGCCCGAGAGTTTGCATGAGAGTTTGCAAACTCTCACGGCCTGGTCAAACGAGAACAAGAGTTGCATGAGAAAGTGATGAGACTCAGTGACTGGATATTACTCTCAAAACTCTCAACAAAATTAACCAGTTCAAAGTTTGAAACAAGAGTTGCAACTCTCATCCGAGTGATCGAGGCTTAACTCTCATTCACCAGAAAATGCAATATCATGACTCGTGACTAAATGATTTAGTCTAAATCATTGGTCATGACTAAATCAAGAAACACCAAATATCTGTATTACTGTAAGTGTGTGCATATTTCCGAACAGTACCCCGAGTCGCGGAAAACGGCATAGTCATAGACGCATAGTGATAAGAACCCGGGGACAGGGTTGCATAAAGAGCTATTGATGCAATATCAGTGTTATCATTAATCATTATTACATCTTAAGAAGAATCACAAACTTTCATATTAGATATGACTATTTCTTTTTTATCAACGACTTCAGTCGTGTCGAAGACTGGACGTAACGGAAAGAACCGTTGGCAATGGTTTTGCTGTCCGCTCATTTCAAATGTCCGTTTATGAATTGTAAATTGATCATTGCCATCAAAACAAATGATCATTATTCGTCTCCGTTCACGTCACAGCCTCGATTTTATGCTTGTCCGCCATTAAGAGCCGGTCAAACCGGATTGCCGAACCGGTTAAGCCAGATGTCATATTGCGAAGGCGTTTTCATATCTGTTCAACTTTGCACAAACAAAACTGAATCGTCTTTCTTTGCTAACTAGAAGGTAGAATTGAGAATGAAATAAAAGAAACATAGCTAGGTTTTGAGACGACATTTTGACAAACGCGCGCATATATTGTTGTTAGTGTGTTACACATGTCATGAACATTGTTGTATTGTAAATATATTCAAATGTGTTAGCCCCTTCGTTTCCGATAGGACTCCCCATATTTACCGCCAACCGGTTTAAAAAAACCCAAATCGCAACCCCCAAAACCTTTATATTCAAACCACCTACTTTCAATATTTATATGAAAAACTACTTCCTATGAACAAATATGACGATTTGAGTTAGATATGTTGTATTTCAAACGAATTATCTTCGCAAATTGAAGTTTATGTTTTAAAAGCAATGAATAATTCATATCATTACTTTTTGGTGTGAACGATCTTCGCCACTTGTCGGAACTGTACGGAATCACTTATTTTACAGTCACGTGACACCTAGGTTAGAAAATCAAACTTTTATTTGAAAATTGTGATTAAAGGTTTGCGTTTTTTCGCATAAAACTCACGGGAGTAATGGAATACAATATCTAGTAATGAGAAAAGGTTGTTTTATTATTGAAGAGATTGTATTTGGTTTCGGAAACGCGGAATATTTGAATTGGTTTTTTGCTTTCTATTGGCGGCGGCCATTATCCGGCTTGCTACGAAGTGGTTACGAAGACGCATCTCCAAGCGTGGTTCGGTATGTGAGTGTGGTAGAGTGAACAATAATGGCCGAATCAAAGTAGTGTGGTGTGTGTGCGTAGATCGTCGAAATGCCTCTTTCGTAATCTACTTTTTCCACCTCTGTACACGTCCTTCTTGACGTGAACAACTAACCGCAGTGAACATGTCAACGAATACAAATTCAAGAATTTATCGCGTTGGGGGTGAGTAAAAGTTCTTGATAATTTTGTCAAAATTTCCTGACCACGAGCGCCCCGGCGGTTCGGGTGACCCTCCGCTAAACTAAACCTTCGTTTCCCTGACTGCCGAAATAATATCTTCTTACTAGTTTTACAAGTTTGTGATAAAATAACTAACAAAATAGTACAACTTCTTTTATGTTTTTATATATTTACGAGTCGTAACCCCTCCTAACCCGAACGAACGTTTGTTTTGAATTCTGACCGATCAAATCTGTCCAAGGATTTTGCCTCGCGGTTTAAGCGCTGAATTTGAAAACTTTCAAGGACTTATGCCGAATTTAAATTAGGTTTAGTTGGACTGTTGTCAAACGTATTTGGGGATTATTTATTGAGGTTTTTAATAGTTTAAGAAACGATGTTTTGTAATCATTTAAATTATTATATTTTTTGTGTACAATGTTTCGTGTTTGTTCTATAAGTTTGTTCTATAAGTTTGTTCTATAAGTTTTATAGCGTTGAGGTTTCACTCCTATTTTCATGATACCAGACGAATTTTGAATCGTACAGGAACTTGTACAGTTTCGCCTGTTCGCAATATTTCAAAACTGTAATCTCCCAGGTAAATGGGCGAAAATAATAATATACAAGTTTCAATACTGTTCCAAATTTGTCCTGAACAATGTGAAGGTACATTTACACATTGTGATTTGTTGTGTAAGATTCGTATTCTGGTGTATGTAATCGAACGAGCACGCGTGACATGGATGCATTTCAAATTTTGCCATAAACTAAATGAAGAGGAATTTGTAGCGTCGGCAGTAATTTTACGCCAGAATACGAATTGCACATGACAAATCGCAGCATGTAAACGTACCTTACATAGTGTGTAATTTAAAATTATTCTTGTTGAACATTGAAATTGGCTCATAATGGGTATTTTGTTAGCTGACGAACAGATGATTTATGATCTGGTTTTTTGAGTTTTATCACCTATTCATACATTGTGATTGATGTCTGTCTTTTGCCTTGACTAATTGCCTATAACCCCACTCCATAGCCCAACCCTTTAGACTACCATATAAGGGATGTCTCACTGATCTCAAATAAAAGTGGAGTGAACAATGGTGTTGGTCCAGTATTATTTTGAGTTCAGTGACTACTTTGCACATTGCATCTGATATGAGGATCTAGATGTGGGGGGGGGGGGCTGAAAATCAGTAAACGGTAAAAATTTTTGTATTTTAACGGTAAATCTTTGAAAAGTGTTCTGAAACGATAAACAGTCCTCACGCTTCATGGTAAATTTTTAGTGTTTTCACAATTGACGGTAACCGAAATTGAGTGAATCACGACTCACGATATACCCCATCAACACCCTCTCATATATGTAAACAGGAAATGTAAGAGCTAATGGTTTTCACTTGTTTCCTCAGATTATGTGTATGTTGAGACTGCACCGGTTTATCCATATCAAATACGAAGGATTGAAGAGTTGACGAAGTTGGGAAATGGTCAGATTGAAGCGAAAGTTCAATGTTTTTATCGTCGACGGGACTTATCTAATCCCCTGATTGCACAAGCTGATAGGCATGCTGGTGAGCATATTGTGACTCATGACTTAAAAAACATCTTTCAACATCAGTTAATTTGTACATGAAATTGTTTTTATAATGTGGATTTGATACTAGCAAGTTGTCAGAAAAATAAGGTAGTAACTAAAGGAAATTAAGTGCTTCCACTTTTCAAAATTACAATTTTCTTCAAAATTTCCCTAAAAGTTTGAAGGAAATTTGTGTATCCTGAAATCACACTCAAACTGTATTTTGACAGTGCAATTTCTGAATTTGAAGTCTGCAATGTCTTTCGGTGGTGGGCACTAGAAGGGCAACCTATATTTTCAGAAAGTGTTACAAAGCTGTTAAAATATTTTTTCAATCATGAAAGCATTGGCAGGCTATAAAATAAGCTATATATTGCATGGAATTTAAGGCAAAAAAGTTTAAAGAACTGAGATTTGCAGCGACAAAAGGTATAGTCATATAGTGGTACATTTCAGCACTTATACAAAATAACACATTTCATTATTAGGGGCAGCAGAAGAAGATGCTGAAATTGACATGGGAGACTCTGAACTTGATGACACAAAAATGCATCAGCTATCACATAGAGAATTATTTCTGTCAAGACAATATGAAACTATAAATGCTAGTCAAATAAGGTTTGTTCTCATGTTTAAATTGATGGGTTTCAGAAGATGATGGGCAACTTAGAATGTTGACAGTTGCAGGAGCAAGCACATGAAACCAGAAAGACCTCATATTTCCACTTATAAATGTTCTTGTTTCTGTTATTTCCTATATAAACTGTCAGGCTATAACTCATTTTTTAGAGGCAAATGTTTGGTTACACTTTACTGTGAAACTGAAGAATTACCACGATATTCTGGAAAAGAGGTATTGAAACAGACTGCAATAGAGATGTGTGTTTAACCCATTACAGTATGTGGCACTCTCCCCTTGACAAGTAAAATTGTCTGGTTTTAGACAGAGTAAATAATAAAGTAGGGTGCATCAGGGCACATTGCCACTAAGAAGGTTAAGTATGATACTCACTCATTACTCTATGGTTTTCCAAGCCAAATAACAATTTTGTGCTTGATATTTCAGGATTGGTTTTACTACTGTCTGGTATACGATCCACAACAAAAGGCATTACTTGCTGATAAAGGAGAAATTGGAATTGGTTCAAATTATCAGCCAGTTGTTCCACAGAAACTTGAAGATAGTATGTAACTACATTGCTTGTACTGATCTTATAGCCTGTAGTTTGTTGATAATGTTAACACAATGGTGAACCCCTTACAGAAAAATCCAATAGGAATTTCAATTTTCCTATTGGAATCCCCTGAACGTAGGATGAAAAACTTGTTTCAGTTGGAAATTGTTCCAAATTCCAATTGGAATTCTAATTGGATTTTTGGGAGATACATATATTGTAATAATTTATTGTAGCGAACGAAGATACTAGAGATTTATGCCAACTTGAAACAAAAATTTGGACAACAGATCACACCTTGACAGACCGTGAAGTTGACCAGTTTCTTGTAGTATCCAGGTTGGTTTGATGCATTGCACCATTGAAAAACTTGAAAATCTTTGATTTGTGCCTATTCTGATAGATTAATTTGTATTTGTCAGATCTGTCGGTACGTTTGCTCGAGCATTGGACTGCAGTAGTTCTGTCAAACAACCAAGTCTTCATATGAGTGCTGCAGCTGCATCTCGAGATAT